CTTCATTTCACATACATGCCGAGAGAGACACGCAGCTACAGCGAAGCACTCAACAGAAAAATAGCATTTCTGCACACACACTGCACATTGCATTCACGGGAATCACTTGTCTCGTTCCTTCTACATAACTGTAAGAGAGGACAAAAACAGAAAGTTATGTTCTGCTCACCCTTGTTTTACTCACACAGTCATATCAGCCTATTTGGTTCTTCTGTTATTTTATCCATTTATTTAATGGATATAGATTGAAAACACAGGGCCTTGGCAGAACCAACGTAGAGATTGCCCTGGTGCAAGATTTTTTTTGCCGCTGACCTGGCGGTTGCCTGCATCTTCTGGAATAAGAAAAATTTCCATGGGAGAAGCATTGCAGAAAGACTGTAAACAACTTGGCGTCTAGTCATGGACAGTGAGGGAGTCACTCCTATGAACCTCAGCACTGTCTGAGTCTGTCCTGATAATGTGCAGTCAGAGAGTCGCTGTACATTAGATACAAACCCAGCACTGTCTGAGCCTGTCCTGATAATCTGCAGTCAGAGAGTCGCTGTACATTAGATACAAACTCAGCCTGTCCTGATAATGGGCAGTATGGGGGTCGCTGTACATTAGATATTAGTCTGAACACGGCCTAAGCCTGTCCTGATCATGTTTAATCATAGGGTCACAGCATTACGATCAAGCTGATTTGAAGGGGTTAAGATCTTTAGTCTCTGCTGTTAAAAGCATCCCACGTGCCTGCACATCTGCTAAATTAAATTAGACAATTAGAGAGCTCTTTTAATTTATGCCAGTCTGGCTGCTACCACATCCGCTGGGCAACATCAGAAGCAGTTTATCGAGTTTATAATTTACTCTGCCACAAAAAGGGAAAGGGAGGGCGTGGGCAATGCTTGGCACTATTTATACATATAACTGCCTGGTAACGTGCGTGTGTGTGTAAGAGTACAGAATTAATTTTTATAGCCTTTCTGTGTACACATGTATTTGTAATTGTAGCATAGTATTTATATATAGGACTTGCATGCATCTATACACATATATATTTCTCTGTGTGTATCAGAGTATGGAGCATGCACACTGTATGTGTTCGTGTTGTGTACACATGCATTGCATTAGATTTCTAATCTCTGTGTTCACAGTTATTTTCACTCTACAGAATACCGTCACAAAAGCTTTTTTAGATTTTGGAAAATGTGTACTAACATGGCCACCTCTAGCAAACCTTCATATTATAAATACGTTTTAACGAAGATTAATTAGCTACGCGGTAAACCCTAGGCATGATTTAGCCAGTGAGGAAGATGTATCTAACCTTCATTCTTTGTCATACCCAGACACTTGTTCCTTTGATCCTTTCCCAATCCAGTTTAAAGGGACATTCTAGTCACTATAATCACTTCATCTCAGTGAACCTTTGTGCACAATTTTCAAGTTACTGTACAATATTAAAAAAAGTGCTGATTTACCTGTCATCCTTAACCACACTAGCTCAATATTTGTTTTAGAACAAACAGCACTTCCGAAATGAAACGATGACCAGCTAACATCACTTTCATCGCCGATCTCTAGCAAGACGTCAAAACAGTCCTTAAATGAATGCCTAATATTCTATAGGCAAATCCCCTTGGACTGATTGCTTTATTGTGTTGCACTGCTACTGTTCTTAAAACCAGTTTTTAATAAGTGTATGACACAGCCTTATACACTATGTATGATTTACCAAAAATCAAAGAATAAAGGGACACTGTAGGCACCCAGACCACTTCAGCTCATTAAAGTGGTCTGGGTGCAAACTCTCATCACCCTTAACCCTGAGCATGTAATTATTGCAGTTTTTCTAAAATGCAATAATTACCTGCTAGGGTTAACTCCTCCTCTAGTGGCTGTACCAGACAGCCACTAGTGGGACTTCTGGGCTTGAAGGCGTCTCTTGGTCGCCTAAACGACGCTGGACGTCGTCATGCTATGCTATGCATGAGGACGTCCTGCGTCACCGGAATTCCCATAGGAAAGCATTTATTAATTGCCATTGCCGCGCATGCGCATTAGGTCTCCCCTGTCACTTGACGTTGGTGGGGGAGGAGCGAGGGTGGAGCTGAGCCAGCGCCGAGGGACTGGTAAGTGACATAAGGGGTTATAAACCTCTCTGCACCACAAGGAGGGGAGGGGGATGCCTTGACAGAGGGGGAAGCTATAGTGCCAGGAAAACGAGTTTGCTCATCTGGTACTTTAGTTTCCCTTTAAACTGATTAGCATAATTTCTTTTCTTAACGTTATTGTAGCATACAGCTAAAAAAAAAAAAAAAATCAAAAAATCTGCCAATACTAGATTTTACTAAGGTCTAACTATTTACAGAGATTTGTCAAATGGAAATTGCAACAAATATAATTGCAGACTCCCTAGTGTCCTACCAAAATATATGTACCATTAGAAGAAACTAAATAATAGGAGACATATCCACTCAATTACCAACATAATTGTTGTTGAGTTAGAAAACAAATGAAAACCATAATATGGGACCTGAGGTCTTATTTTTAAGTTTATGGTAATTGAGGTTAACACAGATCACTAGTGACAACGTTTTATGGGCACCACATGCGCAAGAAAATGTACAAATCAATCCAAAATGTTTTTGTTAATTTGTATGTTTTCCTTGATTATATAATACTGTACTTCATGGGAGTATTACTTGAGACATGAGAGTCTTTTGTTATTGATCAAAAAAAATGTAACCACAAGTTGAATGGTGGTTATATGGTTACCTTATGAAAATTCTTCAATAAAAATATTGCTTGGAAAAAAAAAGAATATTAAAGATTCTTGAACACTCTTGCAAAGCCCTTGGCATCTCTGCTCCTTCATACATCTTGGTTGGTATTATTAAATCACCTTACTTGTCCTGTTTACTGACACTTCTGACACTTCTGTTATCAGATCCTCCCTCTGCTGTGAATCTGTTTCATAGTTTTTCTGTAGTGCCTCGATCCAAAGCATGTTGTTTGTTTGTGTGTTTGTTTTCAGTTTTCCAAAATTGTCCCATATCTGTGAAACTCACAGCCATGTTCAAATTATCCTTTTTTTTCTGGTCTGCTACAGACATGTGGCTTCAGGGCTGGTACAAGGATTTTTGCCACCCTGAGCAAAACATTTTTTTGCCCCCCCATGTGACATCACAATGCCCCACCCATATGATCTGTCATATGAACTAACGCCAGTGCTGCACACAGTGTGTGTTTACATTAAAAAGCCAGCAGGAATAGGCTATAGACACCAGAACCACTTCATTAAGCTGAAGTGGTTCTGGGGGCTATAGTGTCCCTTTAATGTGAGGTAAATTAGAGCTTAATGTCACTAATGATATACTAGATTGCCTACGTACAACCAGATGAGGATGATGATGGGCTCTGGCTGCAGACTGGCTCCACTGGTCTGGTGTAGAACAGGCTCTCTGGAAGCTGTTTGCAACTGTGGTCACAACATTCAATGTTCTGGGAGAACAGTAAGCAGCTCCATTTGTTGGGGCCCCTTACACAGCTCAAGGTCTGGGCCCCAGGGCCTGACGGTGAGTATGCCCATAAGGCCCACCCATAAGTCCACCTATATGTTCCACCCATGAGTCCGCTCACAGTAGTGTACAGGGATACCAGTTTGTGTAGGTGATGCAGTGTGCTTAATGGAAATAGTATGTTTTTGTGTAAGGGATAGAAAGCAGTGTGTGTTTGTGTATAAGGGATGTATTGTGTGTTTCTGGTTGTATGTAAGGGATGCATTGTGTGAATCTGTGTATGTAAGTGATGCAGTGTGTGTGTCTGTAAGGGGTGCACTGAGTGTAAGAGATGCATTGTGTTTCTGTGTGTATTTAAGAGAAGCAGTGTGTGTTTGCATGTGTGGGGATGCATTGTGTGTGTGCGCGTAGTGTGAAAAAGTTCCCTGTCCCACCCCCTGTCATATAGAGCTCTCCCTTCCGTCCATTAGAGCTCTCCCCTGCCCCTTAGTGGTCTCTTCTCACCCCCCCTCCCAGTGTTCTCCTCACCTCGCCCCTTCCCAGTGTTCTCCTTACTCCCCCAGTGTCTCCTTTGCTACCCCCCGTGGTATCTTTACTCACCTCCCTCCTGTGGTATTTTTGTAGTACCCTCCCCTGTTTGTGGTATCTTTACTCACTCCCCTGTGGTATCTTTACTACCCCTCTGTGTGGTATCTTTACTCATCCCTCCCATGTTCTCTACATCCCCCTTTCCCTCCCTGTGGTGTCTTTACTCTTTACCCCCCTCCATATCGTCTCCCTACTCATCCCCCCTCCATCTCCCCTTCCCTGTAGCGTGGCCGAGCTCCTCTCAGGTCCGCGGTACAGGAGCTTCTGTTTCCTGTACACGGCCAGACTGACAGGAAGTGCACACTGAGTGTGCACTTCCTATCAGCCCGGCCGGGTCGCGGACCGGAGAGGAGCTCGGCCACGCTACAGGGAAGGGGAGGTGAGAAGAGAGGCAGTGCGGCAGCCGCCTGAGCGCTGTCTATAGAGCGCTCAGGAGGCTGCAGAATTTAAAGGGCCGGCGATGAGGGCGCAGGACACCCCCTCCTAAGAGGCGCCCTAGGTGACTGCCTAGCTCGCCTTATAGGACGCGCCGGCCCTGTGTGGCTTATACCGCATTGGTTCTTTTTCCTTTTACATTGTAACACTGTGTGACTCTAAAAAACGTATTTGGTTGTTTCTGCCTGCCAATCAAATTTAGATTTTATACTATTTATTTAATGAGAAACTGTCATGTCCAGAGAAGTGACAATCAGAGTTAATTTTGGCAGCAAATTTCAATTTAGTTTTAGTCATAGTCCATAGAGGAGGATGTATATGTCACGGGCCGGCGAATATAGCACAGAACTAGACAACACTCATCAACACTAAAGGACTTACAATCAGGCCTGTCCAGGTGGTGAGCTCACAGCGCAAGACGTTTCTTCCTCTCATGGTACTAGCCCGTTGCACCTCTGTAATAGAGCAGCAATGCCTGAAAATAGCTGGTTTCAAGCTGGATTGTACCAGACCACTAGAGGGCATCGGTTGATGCGAACTATCCCTACCTTGTTACAGCTAGACCACATCGTGAATGCCATCTACCACTGGAGAGGGTCCGCTGAATCAAGACTCACAATGTGGCTGTAATTTCGGCCTCAGCCATGTTTCATCTCAGTATGATTCCCCAATACTCTGAGCTTTATTTTTTGCTTATCCCTTATTGTATTATCTAGCATACAGTTTATGGTTACTCTGTTTAATACATGGCTGGTGGGTTCCCCGGCTTGTAATATTACTCTATTACTAGCCTGTTTTCACACCTACCCTATTCCTTTATGATAATCTATGAACCCGCCTGAGGTTTTCTCTTTTTTTTATGCACATACCTTGTCTTACTCACAGGCAGGGCCTCTTAGCATGATTGTCTCCTATTGTAAAAAAAAAAAAGTGCAGTATCTGTGACATACTATATACCGCTTTAACTGAGAATAGTGTTGTCTTCCCTCATGTTAAGTCACTTACATAACAGTGTGTATTTCCCTGCACTACAAAAATAAAGAATTAAAAAATATATAAAATAGCACAACCTACAGCTAAAATCCAGTTATTGTGCTAAAATCATCATGCTCTAATGTATTATTGACAAGTAGGGATGTGAATGGGAAAATAATTCGGGACTTCGACACTTCGGTTTGGCACTTCAGGACTTCGGGTAAGTTTTGGGTTAGGGTTAGGATTGGGTTAGGGATAGGGTTGATTTAGGAGTAGGGTTAAGGGTAGGTTTAGGGGTAGGGTAGCATTAGAGGTAGGGTTAGGGTTGGTTTAGGGGTAGGGTTAAGGGTACAGGTAGGGTTAGGTGTAGTGTTAGGGTAGGGTTAGTTTAGGAGTAGGGTTGGGTTAGAGGTAGGGATAGGGTAGAGGTAGGGATAGGGTAGGGTTAGGGATAAGTTTAGGGTAGGGGTAGGGTTAGGAATAGGGTTACGAATTGCACATGTCTATTGACAAGTCCGTTGACCTGCATAGTAAATAATTACACATTTGTTTCCATATTAAAAATGTAGTGGAATTCAGATTATCTTAGTTGCAACCATGCAGAGAATGGTGTAGGGACTGATTCTTAAAATCTTGGACCTTCGGCAGGTACATCTGAATGATACAGGTACATATGAGAGTTAATAATATTTTTCCTGCTCTTGCACGGGCCAACTAAATACAGTCTTCCAGCTGCATTGAGCTATAAATTAATCTTCTGACTAGCTTATAGTGGATATGGTCAAACCGTAGTTTAAGAGCCACAACTGCACCAGTAAAGAAAAATTTATTTCCGTTTGTAGAGTCTCTATTTGGCTGCATGTTCATGTTTGCCTCCTACTGTAAGTGTTTATTTTAGTCCTTGGATTCTGTTTGAAATTATTGCCACTCTGACACAGATTTTAATGCCATGCTAAGTGGGATGTCTACAGAGCCAAACACTGGAACAACCGACCTTTTCAAAAGCTTAGTTTTAGATGCCTTAGAGAGTCACATTTCTAACATTTTCTAAATGTCCTCGGAAAACCAATCTATGGGGGGGTTTTTCTGTCCAATATGATTCACAGCAGGAGAGAAAATTATATCTTTCTTGGAATTGTACAGTCCCCAGGGTTAAAATGGACCCGGTCATAAATTCATTACTCTGTGACCAGTTGAGAAAGATTAAGTATTGATAGATTTTCTCCATGTTGAATCTACTTTTAAAGACTTATCACAGGATATCCTTCATCAATGAAAATATTGATTGGTCTGAAACATGTAGCGTCAGTTTTATTGTTTATATTCTTGGTAAATGTATAAATTAGCTGGCCATGAGACTTTTACAGCTGGGTTAACTAATGTCTGATGGTTTAAAATTTAGCGTTACACTAATAATGCTATTTACCTGTTAGATCTCAGCATGTAATTGGAGAGACAATCAGCTCTCTGTAACATTCAATATTTTATTAAATGATTTAGAAAAAAAGTGGGGTAGGATTGGAGGGGAAATACGTCTGTTATTAGCCAGACTAACGGAGATATATATATATATATTTTTAATTTTTTACTTATTTATAGTTGCAAACAGTGATTAAGTGTAATTGCTATTTGTAGTAATATTTTGAATTCATACACAGCGTAATGCAAAATTTTACTATGATAAATTGCGTTATTCTCAGAAGTGAATCTGTGAGATATGATAGTAAATATCTTATTTTTACTGACTTCTGAGCATAACTCACTTAAGCAAATGCGGCGGTGTTATCACCAACTAATAAATCAGGCTGCTGGTGTGAATCTGTTATTCAAAAATGATATGGATATGAGCTAACAGGCACACTCCATTACATTGAAAAGATTAACTTAATGCTGGTAAATCTACAAGTATTGATATGTGGATGATCTGCCTTCCTGAGTGGACTTTTCATCTCCCTCCAATGGTATACATGTTGTGTTGTCACTTGATGCACTAAAAAATGTGAGTTCAATAAGAGTAAATTGCAAACTTCAGTATAAGTTCATAGTTACTTTTCCTCTGGCGAGTCCTAGCATCTGGGTTTCTACTGGGCTTCCGATATTTGATCAGTTCATTCTTTAAAGGGACACTATAGTCACCAAAGCAGCTTTAGCTTATTGAAGCAGTTTTAGTGTATAGATCATGCCACTGATGTTTCAATGCTCAATTCACTACCATTTAGGAGTTAAATCACTTTTGTTTCTGCTTATGCAGCCCTAGCCACACCTCCCCTGGCTGTGACTGACACAGCCTGCATGGGGGAAAAAATGGTTTTACTTTCAACGAAATGTAACTTACTTTAAAAGTTTTTATCTCCTGCTCTATAAATTTAACTATATTTACATACAGGAGGCTCCTACAAAGTCTAGCAGTTATTAACAGTGCAGGGGAAAGGACATTTAAGGAAGTGTAAACATTAGATGACTCTCTACAGGAAGTATTTAGGGTGGCCGTGCAAAACACATGCATCGAGGTGTGACTAGGGCTGCATAAACAAGGTGATTTAAGTCCTAAATGGCAGTGAAATGAGTAATGAGAATTCATGATCAATACACCAAAACTGCTTCATTAAGCTAAAGTTGTTTTGGTGATTATTGTGTCCCTTTAAAGAGGCACAAGGCCATCATCCACAGCTTTATTTGCCAACTGCTATGTAATCAATGACCATGATGTTTATAAATATATCCTCGTGTGAAAGCCAAGTACATTTTGAGCCAATGTGTGGATCAAAAATCTTGCACTAGAATGATTGCACTAGAAAAAAAAGTTTGATAAAGTTGATAGTTGAAACATGAATTCTGCATTGTATGTGCTTAATGCTAAAAGACAATGCACATATGTTCAAAAAACTTATATTGCCACCAACACAACCCAGAAGCTTTTTTTTAAAGTGTACAGGTGGTATCAATACATTGTCTGCATGGGTTGGTCATAAAGAATCATTTACAGAGATTATACTGCGGAGTGTTTTTATTTATTTAGAGCATTTTTGAGGTGTTGGCACAATGTTTTACATTGAGCACCTGCACAGAGATTGTTTCATCTCGCAGTGCCAGCAGTTATATATTCTTATTTTGCCAGATATTTAGCTTATACAAATCACAGACTTTTATTAGATCTTTAAAGTTGACCCATGTGATGTTTTATCTATTCGGTATAATTACCAGATGTCTCTATTAACAAATCTCAATACTTTTTTTTATTTTGTAACTCTTACTAGTTCACCTGTGTTCAAATAATACATTTCTGTGTTACTAAGATGTAGTATAAACACAACTTATAAAGATGCACCAATTTCATCTCTGTGATACGGATGTAGGTCAAGAATGGTTTGAAAAGTACAGACTGGCTACCTCCACCGTATGTGGTTCTTAGAATCTGGATACATATCCTGAACTCTTTCCAAAGCTACCTTCTTGCCTTCTGTTCTCTTTTCCAGATAGAGGTGGCATTACGTCTTGATAAACCAGCCTAATGTGCAATTTCCAATATTTCACCCAACCCTCTTAACCAGGGGTTCCCAAAAAGTAGATCTCCAGATGTTTTAAAACTACAACTTCCATGATGCTGTCATTCTAAAAGCATGTTAAAGCATCATGGGAGATGTAGTTCTACAACATCTGGGGATCTACCTTCTGAGCACCCCTGCTCTAAACAGCTGGGTTTTTTTTTTTAGATGTCCTAAAGATATAGTTTGAAGGCCTCAAAGTAAATGTCTTTTTTAAGATGCTCTAGGACCACGTTTTGTCTGGCAGCAAATTCGGGCTTTCAGGCATCACCGGGCCTGAATCACTGGTATCAATTCTGCTATTCTCTCCACTGGAGAATTAAACTCCTTTAATCATTCCTAGTCTCCAAACATGTATAATTTTTCAGGACATTCCATTAGTCTCCCCAAACTCTACTGTTTTAGATGAAAGATTAAAGACTTCACTATAGTCTCTCCAGGGAATCTGGATCAGATGTGCTTAGTGTTTTCATACATAATCTCAGTGGATGTGTCAGCTTGCTTGTTCTTGACTGAGCCAGCTCCTTCACCATCTCCAGAACCAAAAAAAAATAAAAAAACATTGTCTATGTCTAACAGATAGCCATAATCAGGTTTCCCATATGTCGGAAATTAAGGATCTCTTCTCTAAATTTTTCTTTTGTTAGTTTGCTTTTATCCTAATTTTCTTTGACAGTCATAGTTCCCATAAGCCTTCTTTTTTAGATAACTTTTTTTTTTGTATCATGGGGAAAAGATGGCAAAATAATTCAGTCTGAACAGAATGCTTTAAATCAGCATACCCCATTGGCAAGTAGCAAATCAAACACAATGTAAACAAAAACAAAGTTATGCATTTTGAAAACAAAAACAATCTAGCAAATCAAACACAAACAAACAAAAAATGTTTTTTTGTGAAAATCAGAATAAGCATGAAATAATTCACTGAAATTGACTTGTAAATAATTGTAAAGAGTAGAGTTAGCATGGGTTACATTTAAAGCGTATCTAGAGGAATATTGACTTAGAAAAATAGTAGAATTTCAATGCATTTAAAATCAGTGATGAGAACGTTGAGTATGCAGGTGTCATACTTTGTGTCTCGCGCTGTCCAGCCGTCCATCCTCTCCTGTCGGGTGGTGCGGATCGCTGGCTGGCAAAGCACGCGTGTGCCTCCAGTGGCGCGCGCATCTGGGAGGGCGTCCGAGGACATGCACGCGCGCACACGGTAGCCGGCAGGGGTGAAGTGACATTAACTTTTAAAGTGATAGTAGCCTATTGCTACTATCTATTTATATCCTCCCTCATTTCTGTCCCTGCCTATCAGAATACACCTTAACCTATATTAACCTCCTTCTGACATCACTTCCTTGCCCTGTCATGGTTTATTTTAGCCCGAGAGTGCGTTCTGAGTAGCTGTCTTTTCTTTGGTTTCTGACTTCAGCTTGTTATTCGGTTATTCTCGTTTCTGGCTCCCTGAACTTGGCTCTGTCTATTCGCTTTCCTGTATCTCTATATCCCTGACCTTGGCGTGTTTGACTATTCTTATCTCTTATTCCTACGTTAAGTCCGGCCACTTTAAGGTCTGCTAATACGTCTGCCTGTGCTTGCCTTTATTGTTCTCTGGTTTGCATGTTGGGGGGTGTTAACCTTGACAGCAGGACACCAATTCTCAAAACGTATATTATCGAAATGGTGTTATTTGTGTGGGGTGCATTTGTGAAATGCATCAATGTAAGTGTGAGTAATGTCTGGGTGTTGTTTGTGTACACAAAGAGCAAGAGTTGTTTGATGCAAATATGTGTAATTTTTTTTTTTGGTTTCCCCATTTACCCCACTGCAATATCTCTCTGGCAAAATGTAGCACCCTCTCACTGTACCCCTCTTTCACTATATAACAGTAATACCTTGATTTGTACATATTTGAACATACCGAATTTATGTGCTACCCATTAATATGGATGTGAATCCAGAAAACACAGATTTTGGAATCCTAATCTGCCCACCTCTCTCATTTTTTTTCCTTTCCCCCCATTCTCTCTGCATTCCTCTCTTTTTGTGTCTATCCCTATCCCACCTTTATTACACCTCATACCATCATCTCCTGACCCTTTTACCCCCCTTCCCCCCCCCCATTCCTTGTGTAGCATGGCTGAGTTGGATCTGGAGTCAAGAAAAACTTTTCAATTTATATTATGTTTTGTTTATTATTTCGTTCTTGTTTTTTTGTGATAAAGCTCTGCCCCATGTTGCTATATATTTTTTTTATTTTTAGCTTCTTTTGCATCAGCAGATAAAATGGTTTGTGAAAGGTTGAACTTGATGGCCTTGAGTCGTTTTTCATCCTAAATTTCTGTTACTCCATAAAGTTCCTTTCATGTCTACTCGATATTTTCCAAAATAGCTTCTCAAAGACGGATAAAACTGAAATGGGAAAAAAGTACAAGATGCAGAAATGACCCTTTCAATTGTTGCTGCCCACCTGTTGCTGCTCTCATGAACTCACTTGAAATCACTATATGAAAACAAAAAAATGAAGGATGCCTTAAGTAAAAAGAAATAAAAATACACATAAATGTTAGGTTGATTTATGTCGAAACTGAGAGGGTAACGTGTGGCATCCTGTGTATGTGTATATATATATATATTTAATATGTGTGTACTCTGTTCAGAATTGAGTAGAGATTCACACTGATATTTTGTTCATTTATGGGGTTTGAGAGAAGGTGAATGGGAGATGGACAGAATGATTGTAAACCCGACTTCTACTGTGTTGGGTTCATTCCTAAAAGGGCGACCATCGGTTTTGTACAAAAAGACTTGCTATAATGGGACTGTTAACATGGACTGTCTGTCTCCTACGCAGGTGGCTGTACGTTTGAGGAGCATTACAGCAGTTGTGGATACAGCGTGGCTCTGGGTACCAATGGGTTTACATGGGAGCAGGTGAATACATGGGAGAAACCACCAATGGATGCCACGGTACCAACAGGTAAAATAAACATTTAAAACAATACGGTGCTGCCAGACAGACACAGCAACCTCTCCGTTTATTTTTGCTCTTTATTTGTACCAGTCATACATTCCTTTAACCACTGCACGTCTTGTTTTTCAGCACCCTCATACTTTCTATATTGATCTACCATCTTTCCATTTGTTCTCTCTCATCCTCTTATTTGTCACATGTTGTGCCCTCTCATTCAGTTTGACCCCTACCTCAATACTTTTTTTCTCCTCTCAGGCTCCTTCATGCTTGTAAACAGCTCTGGGTTTGCTTCTGGTCAAAAAGCCCACCTCCTCCTCCCTGTGCTCAAAGAGAACGACACTCACTGCATAGACTTCCACTACCACATGTCTGGTCGTACCAGCCCTGGTGCCCTCAATGTCTATGTGAAGGTGAATGGTGGACCCCAGGGAAATCCAGTGTGGAATGTATCTGGGGTAGTGACTGAGGGCTGGGTCCGGGCTGAACTAGCAATCAGCACGTTTTGGCCCAATTTCTACCAGGTAAGACTACACAAGATGTATGTGTACCACAACTGTGCTAAATCTCATAGCAGCATGTCAATATCATAAGAATTGTCTCAGCTGGCCACATATTCATTGACAACTTGCAACTCCAACAAACTATGGGTTTCTAGGGCACACACAAACTCCATTGTAAGGTTTACATAGAAACATAGAATGTGACGGCAGATAAGAACCATTCAGCCCATCTAGTCTGCCCAATTTTCTAAATACTTTCATTAGTCCCTAGCCTTATCTTATAGTTAGGATAGCCTTATGCCTATCCCACGCATGCTTAAACTCCTTTACTGTGTTAACCTCTACCACTTCAGCTGGAAGGCTATTCCATGCATCCACTACCCTCTCAGTAAAGTAATCCTTCCTGATATTATTTTTAAACCTTTGTCCCTCTAATTTAAGATTATGTCCTCTTGTTGTGGTAGTTTTTCTTCTTTTAAATATAGTCTCCTCCTTTACTGTGTTGATTTCCTTTATGTATTTAAATGTTTCTATCATATCCCCCCTGTCTCGTCTTTCCTCCAAGCTATACATGTTAATATCCTTTAACCTTTCCTGGTAAGTTTTATCCCGCAATCCATGAACCAATTTAGTAGCCCTTCTCTGAACTCTCTCTAAGGTATCAATATCCTTCTGAAGATACGGTCTCCAGTACTGCGTACCATACTCCAAGTGAGGTCTCACCAGTGTTCTGTACAATGGCATGAGCACTTCCCTCTTTCTACTGCTAATACCTCTCCCTATACAACCAAGCATTCTGCTAGCATTTCCTGCTGCTCTATTACATTGTCTGCCTACCTTTAAGTCATCAGAAATAATCACCCCTAAATCCCTTTCCTCAGATGTTGAGGTTAGGACTCTATCAAATATTCTGTACTCTGCCCTTGGGTTTTTTCCAAGATGCATTATCTTGCACTTATCCACATTAAATGTCAGTTGCCACAACTCTGACCATTTTTCTAGTTTACCTAAATCATTTGTCATTTGGCTTATCCCTCCTGGAACATCAACCCTGTTACATATCTTAGTATCATCAGCAAAAAGACATACCTTACCATCAAGATCTTCTGCAATATCACTAATAAAAATATTAAAAAGAATGGGTCCAAGTACAGATCCCTGAGGTACCCCACTGGTGACAAGCCCAAGCTTCGAATATACTCCATTGACTACAACCCTCTGTTGCCTGTCACTCAGCCACTGCCTTACCCATTCAACAATATTGGAATCCAAACTCAAAGATTGCAGTTTATTGATAAGCCTTCTAAGTGCAACAGTGTCAAAAGCCTAACTGAAATCTAGGTAAGCAATGTCTACTGCACCACCCTGATCTATAATTTTAGTTACCCAATCAAAAAAATCAATAAGATTAGTAAAGTAAACCCATGTTGCCATCTTGAAATCCATGTGTTTTTAGATGTTCAACAATACTATCCTTTAACAATTTAGTGTGACCAGGAGTGGGGCTTTTTATGAGACATTTTTGGAGACTTACTAATGACAATTATTTATGCTACTAAAATGCAATTTTGAACAAGAACAAAGTATCTTTTTAACTCAGACTGATTTCTAAACACATTTATTATAGTTTAAAGACACATTACTGGGAGTACTCTAGTATTGCAGTGAGGCTCTGTTATACACTCAGTCACACCAACAATATGGAGCTCCTAGAAAAGAGGGACATTAAAATAGAAAGGAGGAACAGAGGGATTTGGGCCAAACATCGGAATTGTCCCTCCTAATTAGGGACATATTGGAGGCATGTTAGTTTGTGGCTGAAGATGTTTGGTTAGCTTTACTTTACATACTGAGTTCAGTGTCTATAAGAATATATACCATGCAGATGAGCAAAACCAAGGTCCTTTCCCCACCTTTTAAACTGGAATCCAGACGCACCCTTCATCTTCACCAACTGCACTTGTAATCATACTTGATTATATTTCCTACCTGATCGGTGTTAAACTCATATATGTGTTTTTTAATATTCTGTAATTTTAATATTATTGATATTGTTGTAAGAATGGAATGTTTGCAGGCCAAGTACATGAAAACAAGCGAAATCTCAATGTATCCTTCCTGGTAAAATATTTTATAAATAAATAAAATAGCAAGAATGTAACAAGAAAAATAAAGAAGAAATATGCTGCACTATTATTTTGAGTTGTTCTGGTTGAAATACAATACAAGGATGATATTTTTGCCCATGAGTGCCAGTTTACAAACCTTTGTAGTGCAAACGTTGGCAATTAGTGTCACTGCCCTGGGGTGACCAGCAACCTTAACCAAGTCACTGCTACTGCAGAAGGAGCTGCAGAAATATGCTGTCTTTGGAGATCAATCATCAATTTACTTTATTGGTCATTTAAATCCATTGTAATATTTGCTGAATCAATTTAAAGGAAAGAAATGTGTGGTTTTCACGTGATAACTTATTTAAATGCCATTTCAGGTCATACTGAAACCGCAATGGCTTATGCTCACTGCAATTTTATGACCCCAACCACTCCGACAATATATAGCAATTCTATAATGCCTTCCATGTTTAGAGGTGTGTATGTAGCAGCTTCAATCATGTGAAATATTAATGAAGGCACATGGCAAGCTTAATAGAAGCTAGGCCACTGTCATATGCTTGTCATGTACTCAACTGCAGAAATGCTATCCCATGTACAGCGTTCCCTCTGAAAACAGTGAGAAAAAGATCAGCCTGTTTCTGCAGACTTCCTGCAAACATGGGAAATACAGCAGAACATAAAATAACACTGCAATGGTTTTATGAACATGTATAAGAATAATAATTCCTTTGTTTTATAAATGACCACGGCAGACCCATCAATTAAAACCTGGAGGGATTTTGGGGCATTTGGAGAGATGGCATGTGTGTATATTCTGTATTCCAGTTCTATGCAGCATTATGGTGATTTCCAGTCTTGCTGTCTCCTTTTAGATCATATTTGAAGCTGTCTCCGTGAAGGATCACTCAGGGTACATCGCTGTGGATGAGGTCCGCGTTCTGGCTCATCCTTGCCGTATGTAAATGATTACATCTCTGCCTTTACCTCTCTGCCCTATTCTACGTCTACTTCCATGCACTCTTCCCATAACTCCTCACGTAGTTTCCTGTACTTTTCTCATATACCCTTGTCTAATTCTCTACACTCTTCATGCCCTCTCTCTAGCTTCATTCATTCTTCCTACGGTTCCTGCACTCGTCACACCCTGCTTCCAGTTCCTTGTATTCTGCTCCATACCTCCCAATATTTCAAACAAAGAGGAACTTTGTGGAACAGTGGTGGGGATGTTCTGAGAAATATTAGGTGACTTACTAATAACAATTTGTGCAACTAAAATATAATTTGGAACAAGAATAAAGTATCTTACTTACACAGACTGATTTATAAACACATATATTGTAGTTTATTTAAAGACACATTACTGTGAGTATTATTACTGTTATACACTCAGACACACCAACAATTTCAAGCTCTTCGAAAAGAGGGACATTAGGGATATATGCTTCTAACTCCCTGCTTCTCGTTGCACTATTTTTAACACACTACTTCCAGTTTCCTAAACTCTGCTCACACCCCTTTTAGTTCCCAGCACTCTGCTCGCACCAATGCCTAGTTCCCTGCACACTTATCATACTCCTCTCTTATTCTAATGTGTCTCTTTTGATGCAAGCAAGCATGCCTTGCATTTGTGCATGTTGCTTCTAGCACCTTGCCCTTTTCTCTGCACTCTTTGCTTCTAGCTCCCTGCACTCTTCACACACCGTGCTTCTAGTTCATCACACTCTTCACACACCGTGCTTCTAGTTCATCACACTCTTCACACACCATGCTTCTAGTTCATCACACTCTTCACACAGCCTTATCACATTCTGCTTCTAGTTCATTGCAGCCTTATCACTCTGCTTCTAGTTCATTGCACACTTCTCACACCACTCTAACTAGTTCAACGCACTCTTTTTACACTGCTCTAACTAGTTCAATGCACTCTTTTTACACCACTCTAACTAGTTCAATGCACTCTTTTTACACCACTCTAACTAGTTCAATGCACTCTTTTTACACTGCTCTAACTAGTTCAATGCACTCTTTTTACACCACTCTAACTAGTTCAATGCACTCTTTTTACACTGCTCTAACTAGTTCAATGCACTCTTTTTACACCAGTCTAACTAGTTCAATGTACTCTTTTTACACCACTCTAACTAGTTCAATGCACTCTTTTTACACTGCTCTAACTAGTTACAGGCACTCTTTTTACACTGCTCTAACTAGTTCAATGCACTCTTTTAACCCCTCAAGGACCAAACGTCTGGAATAAAAGGGAATTATGACATGTCACACATGTCATGTGTCCTTAATGGGTTAAACTGCTCTAACTAGTTCAATGCACTCTTTTAAACTACTCTAACTAGTTACAGGCACTCTTTTTACACTGCTCTAACTAGTTCAATGCACTCTTTTTACACCACTCTAACTAGTTCAATACACTCTTTTTACACTGCTCTAACTAGTTCAATGCACTCTTTTTACACTGCTCTAACTAGCTCAATGCACTCTTTTTACACCACTCTAACAAGCTCAACACACTCTTTTTACACCGCTCTAACTAGTTCAATGCACTCTTTTTACACCACACTAACAAGCTCAATGTACTCTTTTAAACTGCTCTAACTAGATCAATGCACTCTTTTAAACTGCTCTAACTAGATCAATGCACTCTTTTAAACTGCTCTAACTAGTTCAATGCACTCTTTTAAACTGCTCTAACTAGTTCAATGCACTCTTTTAAACTGCTCTAACTAGTTCAATGCACTCTTTTTACACTGCTCTAACTAGTTCAATGCACCCTTTTAAACTGATCTAACTAGATCAATGCACTCTTTTAAACTGCTCTAACTAGTTCAATGCACTCTTTTTACACTGCTCTAACTAGTTCAATGCACTCTTTTTACATTGCTTCTACGTAATCAGAGTCTTCTTACAGTCTGCTTCTGGTTCCCTGCACTCCTCCCACACCCTGCTTCTAGTTCATCATACTCTTCGCTTACTCCTCTTCTTCTAATGCTTTATGTTCAACTTCCTTAATCCTTTTCACGTTCCATGCATTGTTCTAAATCTCTGTGCCCTTCATGTTTTCATTTCCTAGCTTCTCATAAGCCTCTTCTGTGTCATTGCTCTTGTCTCACACTCCTCCTCTTTTCATTCTCCTCTGCTGGGGTCCTGCACTCTTCTCACTTGTCTCTATTAGTTTTGTGCACTCTTGTCTCTCTCGTTAATCGTTCTCCGCACTCTTCTCATGCTCCTCACATAGCTGCGATGTTATTTAAACTTGTCTTTTCTAGTTCCTTGCATTCTTCTCGTGTACACTTTTCGCTCTTGCCTCCTGGTCCCCTGCTCAAGTTCCATTAGTTTCTAGTCAGTATCATTTCTTTATGATATTCAGCGGAAACATATTGGCCATCGTAATGTTGCTTTAAGCAGCAGGGTTGCATCCTACAGGCTGTATCACACAGATATTCTAGAAATCCATTATGTCTTTTCTCAAAGCTACAGAAATTACAGGATGCGTTGTGGACGTGAGCTTGTGTGGGGCCTCTAAGAACCCAGCTTGTGTCCAGTCATTAGACATTCAATTACTGGAGGAGACTTCCTCTATCGTTTACAATGTGTAGTGACCATGGGTGTTGTTGCAAATCTACATTGTTTCCGATGTAACTCTGTAAATAATTCCCTTTTGTGATTCGTTGCAAGCATTCTTTTTATTGAAAGTTTTAATGCCTCTGTCAAAAGGCAAATCTCATAATATTGCCTCTAAAATCGGTTAGCTCATTATTTCGCTGCTGCAGTTACCTCTCACAGCACAAGATTCACGGTCTTAATAATACTGCAGAGATGTCGCTTTATTGCTTGAGATTGGGCATTTAACGGTGTTTAGTTGTTTATTGCGTATCTGTGATCTTTTCTGTTCCATAAATGAAAATTGGGAATTGATTGTTATTTTAAATTTCAGCCGTAAACTTAAAACAACAGCGTTAAACTTAGGGTTATATAAGCATAAGGGATGCCAATTTTATGCCCTGCTGTCTTTGTATTAGGAGGAGGTGAGAGGTGTGTGTCCTGATGTCTGTGTATTAGGAGGAGGTGAGAGGTGCGTGTCCTGATGTCTGTGTATTAGGAGGAGGTGAGAGGTGCGTGTCCTGATGGCTGTGTATTAGGAGGTGAGAGGTGTGTCCCCTGATGTCTGTGTATTAGGATGAGGTGAGAGGTGTGTGTCCTGATGGCTGTGTATTAGGAGGTGAGAGGTGCATGTCCTGATGTCTGTTTATTGCATGTCCTGATGTCTGTTTATTAGGAGGAGGTGGGAGGTGTGTGTCCTGATGTCTGTGTATTAGGAGGAGGTGAGAGGTGTGTGTCCTGATGACTGTGTATTAGGAGGAGGTGAGAGGTGTGTGTCCTGATGACTGTGTATTAGGAGGAGGTGAGAGATGTGTGTCCTGATGTCTGTGTATTAGGAGGATGTGAGAGGTGCGTGTCCTGATGTCTGTGTATTAGAAGGAGGTGAGAGGTGTGTGTCCTGATGTCTGTGTATTAGAAGGAGGTGAGAGGTGCGTGTCCTGATGTCTGTGTATTAGGAGAAGGTGAGAGGTGTGTGTGTCCTGATGTCTGTGTATTAGGAGGTGAGAGGTGTGTGTCCTGATGTCTGTGTATTAGGAGGAGGTGAGAGGTGCGTGTCCTGATGTCTGTGTATTAGGAGGAGGTGAGAGGTGCGTGTCCTGATGTCTGTGTATTAGGAAGAGGTGAGAGGTGCGTGTCCTGATGTCTATGTATTAGGAGGAGGTGAGAGGTGCGTGCCCTGATGTCTGTGTAATAGGAGGTGATAGGTGCGTGTCCTGATGTCTGTGTATTAGGAGGAGGTGAGAGGTGCGTGTCCTGATGGCTGTGTATTAGGAGGTGAGAGGTGTGTCCCCTGATGTCTGT